AAATAAAATAAATAAAATAAATAAAATAAATAAAATAAATAAAATAAATAAAATAAATAAAATAAATAAAATAAATAAAATAAATAAAATAAATAAAAAAATAAATAAAATAAATAAAATAAATAAAATAAATAAAATAAATAAAATAAATAAAATAAATAAAATAAATAAAATAAATAAAATAAATAAAATAAATAAAATAAATAAAATAAATAAAATAAATAAAATAAATAAAATAAATAAAATAAATAAAATAAATAAAATAAATAAAATAAATAAAATAAATAAAAATAAATAAAATAAATAAAATAAATAAAATAAATAAAATAAATAAAATAAATAAAATAAATAAAATAAATAAAATAAATAAAATAAATAAAATAAATAAAATAAATAAAATAAATAAAATAAATAAAATAAATAAAATAAATAAAATAAATAAAATAAATAAAATAAATAAAATAAATAAAATAAATAAAATAAATAAAATAAATAAAATAAATAAAATAAATAAAATAAATAAAATAAATAAAATAAATAAAATAAATAAAATAAATTTTATTTTAAATTTAAAGAGCTTTTTATTTAAAATTAACTTTAATAATAATTTAAAAATAATTTAATTTAATATAATAATAAAATTAGCGTAAAAGATTAGAGTATACTTATTATTAATATTATTTATATTTAAAATATTTATAATTATTTAAAATATATAGAAGAAATCTCGCTAAGCTCTAAAATTAACTTAATATAATTTAAAATATTATTTAAAAAAAGATCTTATATTATAATTTATAATATAATTAATAATACTTTAAAAAGATAGACTTTAATTTATAGATATTAAAGAAAAATATAATATAAATATATAATAACTTAATAAAAAATTATCTCTTTTTATATTTAAAAGAAAATTTAATTAAATTCTATCTCTTATACTATTATCGCGATTATTTTAATTATCTTCTATTATATTTATAATATAATACCTTCTATTAATTAGCTCTTCTATTAAAAAAATTAATTAAAATTAAATATAAGATTATTTATAATTTCGCTTCGCTCGCTTATTAAATTTAACTAAAACTTCTTTATAAAATTATTTTATTTTTATAAATATAGAGAGTAATTATTCTTTAATTATTATGATAAAAAATAATTCTTCTTTATATATTAATATATTAAATATATAAAATATAGATTATTTTCTCTTTTAACGTTATATTATTATTTTAAATTAAATTTTAACTTTTATTATAGAAATTATATAATAAAATATTAAAGTCTAATTGCTTATTATTAATTTTTAATATAATAAAATATAAAAATAAGAATATATTATCTTTTATCTTTAGCGTATTTTATTTAATATAAAAAAATTAATAATATTTTAATAATTATAATAATTATATAATAAAAAGATATAAATATATAATATTTTATTATAATATATAATAATTTTAATATTATATAATTAAATATAATATACTTTAATTTATCTAAAATTATCTTATATTAAAAATAGTATAAAAGTCTATATAATAAATTATTAATATAATATATTAATATATTAATAATTTTAATATAATTTTTCTTACTTATAATTCTTATTTTTTCTATTAAAAGTATATTTAATATATATTATCTAATTAAAATAATTATTTTAAAATAAAAAATATCTATATTATAAAGATTAATAAAAAAGATTCTTCGCGATTATAATTATTATTATTTAATAAATATTAATATAATAAATATATTAAAAGTAGCTATAATTATAATAAATAATAAATAAATTATAAAATAATTAAAATAATTACTAAATAAAGCTCGAGTTTATAATCTATTAAAAAATAAGATAAAATACTTAGTTATATTAATTAAAGAGTTCTATAGAAGAAAAGAGTAACTAGATATAAATATACTAAGACGTATTACATAATTATATTACGTAATCGTCAAGACGCTAAGAGTTACGTAATTCGAATTTTAATAAAGTTATTCTAAAATCAAATAATGTGCATCTATTTTTTAATTAAGGCTGTCGACTATCGAGTAAGCGAACTTTAATAAGCGATATTTAAATTCCATGCCTTTAAAAAGCTATAAGATCAAATTTTTTCATTTTTTCATTATTAAAAAGCGCAAGTTGCGGGCTATAATTTAGAAAAGAATATAAAAAATTTAATAGAAAATAGTAAAGTTATTAAAGGGTTAAAAGTAAGAGTAAGAGATTTTAATAGTTACGAATACTAATTTTTTTACCCACGATATCTAATTAAAAAGCGTAGATCTAATAAATTTATAATTAAATATATATATAAATTTATAATTAAATATATATATAAATTTAAGATTTTCTAGCTTAACTCTATCTTATTCTATTATATATATTAATAGCTAAAGAAACTTACTAATCGAAAAATTATTTAAAAAAAATCTTTTATTTATATAAAGGCTAATCTAACTAGATTAAATAAGAATCTAGAAAAAAAATTTAATATATTAAAATAAATGAATTTTAGATTAAAATTTCTTTATATTTATATTAGCTTAATATTAATTATAAACTCTTTAATCTTAAACTTAAATAATATTTAAAGTTAAATACATTATAAATGTATTATAAATATATTATTATTTATAAGAACTTTAGAACTTTAATTAAAAAATCTTAAATATTAAAGAAGCTAAATTATTTATATAATACGAGTAAAGGCCTATGAATTAAATTCATAACCGGGTTTTTTTTGATCAGGGCTGTCGAGTAAATTTGGTGAGCGGTCTTTGGTGAGCGGTCTTTGGTGAGCGATCTTTGGTGAGAGATATTTGAATTCCTTACCTTTGAAGAATTATAAGACCAAATTTTAAAATATTTTTCTTTTAAAAAAGTACAAATTGCGCTCTATAATTTGAAAAAATAATTATTAAATTTTAATAGAAAATAGTAAAGTTATTAAAAGGTTAAAAGTAGAAAGAAAGATTTTGATGGTTGCGGACGCTAATTTATTTACCCGTGGTGTCTAACCAAAAAGCGTAGCGAACCCGAATTTATGATTGACTGCATATACAAATTCAAGGTTTTCAAGCTCAGCCCTACCTTATTCTGTTATATATACTAATAAAAAATAGTATTTTAATTCTAATAAAAAATATATTCTTAAACTTAATTTAAATTATATCGAAGTATAATTTATAAATATTATTAAAGAAGAGTTAATTATAATCTTTATCTCTATCGTTAACTTATAAAATTTTATAAAAAACGCTATTAAAACTTCTAATATTTAATATAATATATTAAAGATTTTAATAAAAAGCTTTCGAATTATTAATTAAAATATTAAAGTATTTTAATAATAAAATAAAGAACTTAATTAGAATATTATTTAAATTAAAATAAAGATATTAATAATTACGAGTAAAGGTCTATAAATTAAATTTATAAACGTTTCTTTTAATTAGAGCTGTCGAGTAAATTTAATAAGCGATCTTTAATAAGCGATATTTAAATTCCTTATCTTTGAAAAACTATAATATTAAATTTTAAGATTTTCTCGTATTTAGAAAGCGTAAATTACGCAGCAAAGATCGCTTATCAAATTTACTCGACAGCCCTAATTAAAAAAAAACGATTATGAATTTAATTTATAAACCTTTACTCGTTCTTTAATATAAACTTAAATAGTCGAGTAATAATAATTTTAATAAAATTCGAAATTATTCTATTTCCTTCTCGATTTAAATATATTAATCTCCCTTTTTAAAAAATTCTAAAATTCTAAAATTCTAAAATTCTAATTACCCCTATTTTCTTAATCATTAAAAAACTAAAAAAAAATCTGCGAATTTGGCACCCCCCTATAATTAAAAATCAAAAATTTGAATTTTCCTATATAACCTCACTATCACTTATTTTTACAGTCTAAAAAATTTACGATATCTACTTATTATATTAAATAATCTATCTTTAAGTTTTAGAAAGATTTATATTTTAATCTTATAAGTGAAATATTAAAAGTGAGAATATATCGCGAACTTGAAAAATTTATCTCGGCTATTTTTTTATTGCTAAGACTATTTTAAAAAATATAAGAATTTATTAAATCTTTATTCTATAATAAAACGAATAATTAGAATCTTTTATAATTCGAGATTCTTAATCTCTTATATAATTATTAAAATCTAGAATTTTTTTAGAACGTTATAAGTTATCGTTGTAAGGCTATTTAAGAAAAGTACTTCTTTATTTTTTGAAGAGAGGTGCTAAAATCGCGATTCTAGTTTCCTAATAATTAAGAAAATAGAGGTATCGTAAAATTATAAAAATTATAAAAATTATAAAAATTCTATAAATAATAATAGTAATAATAATAATTAATATAAAAATACTATAATAGATATTAAGATTAACTTCTTATTAATTTAATTTAACTTAATTTAAAGTTAATTAACTTTTTAGAAACTTATTATTAATATAACTTTTCTTTTTTCTATTTAAATTTTACTATTATTTTAATTAGTTATAAAACTTATTTTACGCTTTTTAATAATTTAAAATTTATAAAATTCGATTTTATAGTTTTAAATTAAAGTATTTTCACTCTTCGAGAATCGAATTTCATCTCGAAATTAAAATTTAATCTCGAAATTAGATTTAAAAATTAATTACTTTTTATAAATTTAATTTATAAACTTAAACTTATAATTAATAAAAGAATATTAATAATTTATTTAATTTATAAATTAATTCAATTTTTTATATTATAGTAATTAATAATATACTTATATTTTAAGATCGATAGATACTTATTTAATATATAAGGCTCTATCTTATAATAGATTATAAAAATAATGATAGGGGAAAACGCGTAAAAACGCGTAAATCGGTCATTTGTTTTGACGCGTACTAGACGCGCCCACCGCGTTCAACGCTCCGCCGCTCCTGCGGCTCTCGCAAAATCATGAGGGTCCCTTTGACACAAAGACATACAGTTATGCCACACTCTACAGCCCCAGGGCCAATGCGACCTGAAGAGGTCGACGAAGACGACATCCTCCCGGACGCGCCTCAGCAAGTTTCAGACCATACGAAAGAAGAGGGAAAGACGGACATGACCGATAGTGCATCGCAATCAGAGGATTCAACAAGCGAAGCACCGAGGATAGATGTAAAGGTCGAGGACCTTTTTGACGACGCTGACGACGATGAAGAGGATGAGTTCTCAGGCTCAAGAGTTCTAAATCCCGGAAACGAAAGCAGTCCACCAGAGGCACCCTTGTGAGAATGTCTCTGCTCCAAGTGGATGCCGGTTTCTAACTTGGACTTCCAGGCCTTGCGCTCAGTCTGCAAAGTACACAGACCCAGAGGTCATGCTAGCCTTCTACCAGCGCCTTTTTCCGTTCCGGTACCTTTACCAGTGGCTGAACCACTCAATGAAACCATCGAACGATTTTGGTCATCGGGAATTCGCGTTCACTCTGCAAAATGACGCGTATCTCAGGTACCAAAGCTTCCCCACAGGAGACCTGTGAGTATACTGCTATTTCCTTGCGTCACGCAAAATTCATTCCTCGCAGACTTCGGAGGGAGATTCTACGCCTCAACCCTTCCCGTTTTGAGATAGGTCCAGTCTACACAGCAAATCCTCGGGATCGCAAAACTCTCCGCAAATCCACTGCTTTTCGGCCAATGGCAAAAGAATTGGTCTTTGACATAGATCTGACGGATTATGACGAAATACGTACCTGTTGCAACAAAGCAAATATCTGCCACAAATGTTGGTCGTTCGTCACAATGGCCATTAAGGTCGTGGATGCAGCGCTAAGAGAAGATTTCGGATTTCAGCACATCATGTGGGTCTATTCTGGGCGAAGAGGAGCCCATGCCTGGATCAGTGACAAGCGAGCAAGGAACATGGATGATCAGAAAAGGAAAGCGCTCGCAGGATATCTAGAAGTGATCAAAGGTGGAGCACAAAGTGGCAAGAAGGTCAATGTGAAGCGGCCTCTCCACCCACATCTAGCGTAAGTCGCCTTTGATCGAGATCTTGCAATACAATATCTCCATTTAATGCCTAGCAGTCGGAGTCTTGACATCTTGAGAGAACACTTCCAGCGCGATATTTTGGAAGACCAGGACCCTTGGGCCGAACCCGAGAAGGCAGAGCGTCTACTTCGGCTGCTTCCTGATAAAGTATTGAATGATTCTTTACGCAAGAAATGGGATGCAGCCCCTGGCCGGTCAAGCGTCAGCAAATGGGCTGACATAGATGCCCTTGCGAAGACAGGAGCCAGCAAGACCCTGGATGGCAGAGCTCTATTGGAAGCAAAGCAAGACATTGTGCTTGAGTACACGTATCCGCGCCTCGATGTTGAGGTCAGCAAAAAAAAAATACATTTACTGAAGTCTCCTTTTGTCATACATCCGGGGACTGGAAGGGTCTGCGTACCCATCGACACTAAGAGACTAGCAAAGTTCGATCCTCTTGGAGTGCCAACTGTGACGGAACTTTTGGGTGAGATCGATGCGTTTGATGGGCAAACGACAGAGGAGAGCGATGTCAAAAAGACTCAAGACTATGAGAAGACGGGTTTGAGGCCGTATGTGGAATATTTTAGGACTTACGTCGCTGGGTTGCTTAGGGAGGAGAAGGGTGTGAAGAGGGAGAGGGAGACAGGCAACGCGATGGAATTCTGAGACTTTCGTAACTAGGCTGTGCAGATGATTGGCCAGTGAATGAGATACAGTTGTCAGGTACTCAATGATGTGTATAATAAATCTGTATTCGTAGTGTAAAGAGAATACTATCTACTCGTTTCCACCCCCATTTGCACGTTACCCCCATTTGCACGCTCTTAAATTTAATAAATTCGATATAAATAGTTACTACTACTATAGCTATTACTATTTATTATTTATTTTAATAATCTATTATTATATTCTATTATAATAGCTAATATTATTAGATTTAAATAATTTTTTATTTACTTTTTATTATAATAGCTACTATTATAATATTATAATTATTATCTATATATTTAATATAATAAATATTTCTACTTTAAATTTTAATATATCTTAATATTATCTTATATTTAATAATATATTAAAGTTTAAATATAATATTAAAATAATATATAGAAATTTAATTATATATAATTATTATAAGTATAAAGTTTATATATAATAATATAAATAACTCTATATTTAATTTCTTAATATTATTAAAATATTAGAAAATATAAAAAGATATATATTTACTAGTTAATAATTTACTACTTTAAATAATTATTAATAAGTTTATTAAGATAAAGTAATAAAAAGAGAATAAGATTTAATATAAATAAATATATTAAGAATAAGAATAAGTATTAATTTAAATCTATTTAGAAGTAATTAAGTAATATTAAAAAAGAAAAATATTTATTAAAAAAGACTACTATATCTCTTATATATAATATATTACTTTTATTAAACTTTATATTTTTATAATAATAATAGCGAAATAAATAAAGAATTTTTTATTAAAATTCGAGTTATATAAGTCTTAGCGATTATATAATATAGTTATATAATACGTCTTAGCGTATTTATATTAAGTCGCTCTCTTCTCTATAATAACTCTATAATTAATATAATTAAAAAATTTATCTTATATTTCTATAGATTATAATTTTAAGCTTTATTCGATAATTATTATATTATAACTATAGAGATCTATATTAAAAGTTTTATATATATATTAAAACTCTTAATATTCTTAATATTTTTAATATTCTTCGATATTTAATAAATTCCTTAAATAGCTTTATTTTTTATTAATAATTCTTTATATAACTATATATATACTCATTAACTCGCTTATTCAAATTATCTAGTTATATATTCTCTTTAAAACGATCTTTTCTATACTTATTATCGTCTTTTAAATAAATAACTTCGATAATATATCTAAGTATACGTTCTATTTACTTCTAAATTCTCTCTTATAAAAGCTTATATTTTTAGTAAAAAGTTTATCGCTTTTTAGTCTCTTTCTAAATCGTTAATAGATTATTTTAAATAGTATATCGCTTTATTTAAGATTAATATAGCTTAATATAATTTAGATTTAACGAGTTTTTATATTATAGTTATCTAAGTATATCTATAAATATAAAGATTAATTTCTAAAACTTTAAAATATAGATCGAGATCTTATCTTTTATAACTACTATATTAAATCTATTCTCTTTATATTTTTAAATAAATTTTAAAAGTAATAAAAGAAGAATCTATATCTAATTAGCGAAAGAAGTTAAAGAATTTAAAGAAATATATATAAATAAATCTTCTTCTAATAGCGATATTAATTAATTTCTTCTTTCTTTTCTATAATAATAACTTTCTTAATTTCTACTATAAATCTCTATTAAGACTTTACGTTAGAAAGATTATATAAGTCTATATATCTTATATTAATCTAAAGTTTTTACTATAATTTCGTCTTAAGCTTTAAAGCCTTATTAATAATAGCTAATTTCTAAATATATTTCTTCTTTTAACTATTATTTTAATCTTTTAAATATAATATAAACTCTTCTTATCGTATAAGAAATATCTCTAGAATATAAACTTTATAGCGTCTATAAAACGATATCGAATAGCGAACTTAATATAGATCTTATCGAGCTAATACTATTATCGTATTTATTCTTATTAAGAGTTTAAGACTATATTAATCTTATTAATCTAGATTATATTTTCTTAATTCTCTATAGTTTAATCTTTATATTATAAAGCGAATTAGTATTATAATTATAGCTATATTTATCGCTAAAGATATTAAGACTTAATATAGCTTAATATAACTTAGTACTTAATATCTTAGCTATAGCTTTTCTTAAAAGAAATATTATAACTTTTATTATTAAAATCTTATATTTATATTTATAATATAATAATTAATAATAATATTAATATTCGATTCGAAAATAATATATCTAGCTATTATTTTAAATCGAGATTATTTTAATAATAAACTAATTAATAAAAATCTTAAAGGATTTCGAAGTATATTAATCGCTTTTATTTATATTTATTCTATTATTTTAAACTTCGTTATCTTTAAAATTATTTTTTATTAATTTTTAATTATAATTATATTATATTAAGAAGCTTAAAAAAATATTAATTTATTAACTCTATAATTAAACTAATTTTAAATATATAAATAATTAATTAAATTTTAAAACTATTATTTTAATTATATAAATTTCTAAATATAAAATTATTTTAAAAGAATTTAAATCTTATTAATTTTATTAAATATCTTATTAGAAATAATTTTAAATTCGCTTAATTATATATAAATTACGAGTAAAGGCCTATAAATTAAATTTATAATTATTTTTTTAATTAGGGCTATCGAGTAAATAGATAAGCGATCTTTAATAAGCGATATTTGAATTCCTTGCGTTTTAATAATTATAAGACTAAATTTAAATTTTTTTTTTTTTCTAAAAACCCATATTTTATTCTATAATTTAAAAGAAAACCTTAAAATTTTAATAGAAAATAAAAAAGTTATTCTAAAATTAAATAATGTGTATCTATTTTTTAATTAAGGCTATTCGACTGTCGAGCGATCTTTAATAAGCGAACTTTAGTAAGCGATATTTAAATTCCTTGCGCTTTAATAATTATAAGACTAAATTTAGAGATTCTTTTTTTATTTAAAAGCCCATATTTTATTCTATAATTTAAAAAAAAATCTTAAAATTTTAATAGAAAATAAAAAAGTTATTCTAAAATTAAATAATATATATCTATTTTTTAATTATCCGACTATCGAGCGAACTTTAATAAATAATATTTTTTTAATAATTGCGAACGCTAATTTATTTATTCGCGATAATTTAGTCGATCTAATTAAAGAGCGTAGTAATTCTAAATTTATAATTAGCTATATATATAAATTTAAGATTTTTAAGCTTAACTCTATCTTATTCTTTTATATATACTAATTAATATTCTAATTAATTTATATTCTAAATAGAAGATTTAAAAGATTTTTAATTAATTTTTTTTTAATAAGATATTAATTAGATTTAAAGTTTTTTAAGATTATTCTTATCTATAAAAGTAATCTTAGAAATTTTATTAATATTAATCTTATTTTTAATAAAAATAAAAAAATCTATTAAAATTAAAAGAAATAATTCTTTTAACTCTAAAAATCGTTTTATTATAAACTCTAATAATTTTATATTTATCGAATCTTTTAAAGTTATAGAAAAACGTTTAATAATATAATTAGATATTATAAAATATATAATTAATTAAGTCGAAAAGTTAATTGAAAATCGAAAAAATTTAAAAAATTTAAAAAACTTATAATATTTTAAAAATATCTATTAATAAGATTATATAGTTATTTTAATAATTATTAATAGATTATAAGCTCGAAAGCGAGTAAAGTAATATCGAATATTCTTATATTTTCTAATATAAATATTAAACTAAGTCTTTAATAATTATTTATAAATAGATATATCTTATAACGATAGCTTATTTTTTTAGCTCGTATTTATTAATAAGAGAGCTATTACTATTTAATTTCTATATAAAAATTATCGAATTAAAATTCTTATTTTATTCGAGATTTCGAAATAATATAAGTAGATTATTAAAAATTCTTAGATTATTTTAAGATCTTAAAATAATATAAGTAAATTATTAAAAACTCTTAGATTATTTTAAGATCTCGAAATAATACGAGTAAAATATTAAAAACTCTTATATTATTTCGAGGTCTCGAAACGGGTATTTAAAAGCCTTGATACTCTTTCTATTTTCTCTATCGAGGTTTTTTATAGATTTAACGAGATTAAATAAATAATTAATCTCGAATATAAAGCGTAAATTTAAAAACTAATATATATAGAATACGATATATTAAGATTTAGAGAATCTAGCTTCTAAAGCTATCGAGAAGTATTATAATATTAGCTTCTTCGACTATTATATATATATCGCGTATTACTAAAGCTAGTAATTACTAGTTACTATTAACTATCTATTTTATATATATAAATATTTATATATTTTATCAATTAATACTTAGTCTTTTAATTATAATTATTCTTTCTAATATATCTAATATTCTACTTTTAATAATTTTAATATTCTTATAAATATATATTTTTAAATATAAAATAAAATAAAATTTCTTTTATAAAAATCTATAACTATCTTATAGATATTATATTAAGTATTTTCTTAATAAATAAAAGTATATAAATTCTATAAGATAAGATTATAAGAATAGATAAACTTAAGATATATATTTATTATAAAATTTATATTATATAAGTAGATGAATTATATAAGTAAATAAATTATATAAGTAAGTGAGTGAGGTAAATACGAGGCAACCTCTCGGTACTAAGTTGATCTTGCGTCTATGAATATAAGGTTATAAAAGCTTCTGTAGACTGTCAGACCCTTAACATTAGTCCTTCGTCGAAAGTATTCACATTTTCGTTTGAGATGCTCAGCGTCAGTATCCTTGTTATCATTCCTTGCATCCTCCAACATGGAGTTGATATTCCTTTCGTTCAATGCTTTCTGAAGAACATTAGCTCTCAGAGCCAGGTGATGCTCTAAGCCTGCCTACATCAAGACAAATCTTGTAATCCTTGAACAGCGACTGGCATTCATCCATGATTGATTCCCCCCGTAAGTATTCTGCATTTCAATTAGAAGAATGCAAAAAGAGGAGACGATGATTCCTTACTGTCACTGTACCACTTAAGGAAACATGAGTCGTAGCGCCTAGAGCCACATTAGATAGACCTGTGCCAAGGCCAAGGATACACACTCACTCTTTGACTTCATTACACTCCGGTGCAAGAGAGGAGGACATTCTATGCAGGTCTTGAACAATTTTTGAGCATTTCTAGAGTCTGCTGAAAAAACCTCGCAGCTTTCAGGCCTTCTTGGCATAATGTTTAGAACGATTTTGGCCGAGGCTCTGCGGAAGCGCTAAAGCACGAGCTTAGGATCCTTGCAATAATCTACAAAACGCAGATCATCAACCCAAAATACTCGTCATTCAGATGATTCCACTTCAGCGGCGAGTACCTCTCTTAATGCTTGTTGGCGATCATTTGGCATGAGTTTTCCGGTCATGGCTTCAGATGCTACCTTCAAGGACTTGATGAATAGCATTTCTTTGGCCTTGATTAATACCACTCGGACTGCCAGTCAAATATCAAACGAGGATCTCCCGTTCCATCGTTCCTCCAAACCCTCAATTGTGCCTTTGCTTGAGCAACGAAACTCAAGACTTCTCGGCCTTGCCCGGAGCCTTATAAGCTCTGCAGCCTCAGGCACCGCGGTCACCGACCCTTACGTTGTCAATGCGGACTCCGTCGAAGATAATTGGAAGGAAATTGTAGATGTGGTCGACAACCTCCTCGAGAAAGCCGACGCTTGTCTTGATGAATACACTGGCGTCATCAGAAAGTTGAGCCCAACTCAAGAAGAGCAAATAAAGAAAGCTGCACCTGCTCCTGGGAAGCAAAAGCCTGGCAAAGCTTATCGCACGCAGAACATTGCAAAACCTCAACTGTTGTTCGAAAAAGTCCCTACCAACGACGAGACAACTCCATTCAGACCATTGCTACGCATGAAGCCTAATGCCATCGTCCCACTTGACGAGAGCCTCAAGCTCGTTGCCGCTGAAGATGGTTCCACGCAGTATGACCTACAATTTTATTTGTCTTCGAAACATATTGTAGCACCCTTGAAAGGACTGATTGACATGCAGCTTAGGTACAATCACCCATACGAAATCGAGATCAGAAATTCTCAGTATCCTCTTACCACCCGCGTGAAAGTGCACCCAATACCTTTCTTGCCGTACGAATGTTCAGAAGCGACGTTGGTTGACACACCCGAGACATTGCGTTCCATGCTGGAAGAACTTAAGTTAGCAAAGGAACTTGCCGTCGACCTAGAGCACCATGATGAACATTCCTATATAGGTCTAGTATCGTTGATGCAAATCAGCACAAGAGACAAAGACTGGGTAATTGATACTTTGAAGCCATGGCGGGAGAAGCTTCAGGTGCTCAACGAAGTCTTCACAGACCCGAAGATACTCAAAGTAAGCCCGCAAGGCTGACCTGACGATCTTTCACTCATTCCAGCAGGTTTTTCACGGTTCCTCAATGGACATGATTTGGCTGCAAAGAGACTTCGGGTTGTACGTTGTTGGCTTATTCGATACTTTTCATGCGTCGCGATCCTTGGGGTACCCAAAACATGGGCTGGCCTATTTGCTGAAACGATTCGCCAATTTCGACGCAGCAAAACAATACCAGATGGCGGATTGGCGAATACGGTTCGAATGCAGTCTAATCAGTCAAACCTCTGCCATCTCACACTGACTTTATGGGGTAGACCACTTCCGGAGGAGATGTTCAACTATGCTCGCTCTGACACCCACTTTCTACTCCACGTCTATGACAACATGCGCAATGAGCTCATCGATAGGTCGAACACCTCCCAGGAAGTCGGTGACCTTATTGAGGTTGTTATGAATCGCTCGAAAGAAGAAACGCTCCAGCGTTATGAGCATCCAATATATGACATACACCGTGGGTCAGGACCGATGGGTTGGTACAACATGCTCTGTCGTACGCCAGCACTGTTCAACCGGGAGCAATTCGCAGTATTTACAGCAGTACACCAATGGCGAGATCAAATTGCCAGAGAGGAAGACGAGAGTGTTCACGTCATCATGCCAAAACATGTTCTTTATAATCTTGCCAGAGAGATGCCTGTCGACATGCCTACTCTGCTTGGTTGCTCCCATCCCATTTCCAAAAGCTTTAAGCACCGCAAATCAGAAATACTTGCCGTTATCAAGAAGGCGAGAATGTTGGGCCACCAAGGGTCTGATATGAAAGAGTTCATGCATACAATGCAGGCTATGACTGCTGACCGCTTCTCCAAAGTAAACGGGTCAGAGCAAGTATTTCCAGCACTTGCCACTGCAAAGTTGGCACTCCCGCCTCAGCTACAACGTAATTTGAGCAGGTTGCCAGCTCAGAGTAGGGATTCGCGTTTCTGGGGCTCCACCGTTCCAAATGATATGGATCAAGGAGCAACCGCCCAGGTACCAGGGGAGGGCCTTTGTCTAGCATTGCCGATGGCACAACTTACTGCAGAAATCTTCGAAGATACAAATGCAGCCGGCGCATTTGCTACTGAGCCATCTAAGACCAGTCCTGGCGCCCGTGCTGAGCATCAATACGTGAAGGACAGGAAACCTAAAGCAGATGAGGTATTCGTTGTCAAAGAAGCTGGGGATAGCCGTAAACGCAAGGCAACTGATTCGTACGATCCTCCGAAAGCAGCGTATTCAAGACCCGAAAGCAACGCGGCCAAAAACGCTCAAGAACGCGCTGACGAGGTCGACACGCCTCCCACTATCGAAAACGAGGGGCAACACGATCAAAATTCTAGGGTGTTGAGTGCAACGAAAGAAGAAAAGCGCGCTCGGAGACTTGAGAGTAAGCGGCTGAAGAAAGAGGGGCTTCGAGAGAAAAAAGATGCCAAGAGTAAGAAGCCTAGAGACCTAGAGCCAATCGATTATGCAGATGCTCCATCGGTTTTACATGCCCAAAGAGACAGCAATCGGATGGTGACAGGCAAGGAAATCAATCCTTACACCAAATCGGGTGATGCTCCCAAGGGAATGCGAAAGGCAAAGAAGGAGCAAGAAGGCAAAAGCTTTACGTTCAAAGGTTGACGCTGCGGATGCAGGTGCTCAGTCTAGACACGCAGAATATTGGGAGCAGCGATGATGTTTACTGAGTTGTTCGCTTCATGAAAACAGCTTGTCTAGTCTGTAGCATTGCATATCTATCATGTGCGACGCTTCGGTTTACAGAACCGTGCTCTATTCAGATGGCAGCTACTCGGCCCCAAGGCCGGAAGCAGAGAAGCTCGTGGAGATCCTGCACAGGAAGAAGATTCCGCCTCTCATGACCCCACAACGGCGATCGGTTGCCTCTAAGGTTACTCACCTCGTGAAGGAGTCGCGGCGCTGCACGTCAACTCCAGTCAGCTGAGCTTGTGTGTATGTACCCGAATGCAAATATGTTAATGAAGATATGGATCTATGCAGAAGAGATGAACGATGGACATGATAATGAACGCTGATGTGGCACGTCTCATCCTTCGCTTACTACGAGTACCTATACTGAAGGCATGATTCCCTGGAATCCGCTGGTTTATTTATTTTTGGTGGTAGGAATGACAAGCAGAATGATTACCAGCGTCAGCACTCCTAGATCCGGATACAGTCGCTGCCTGTCGCACATATCTGCAATCAATGTCGATCTTGTTGCGGTCATCTTACCGATGGATGTTCACCATTCGATCGACACTATTATCACACTTTTTTTGCCATTAAACGATCAATGAAAGAATGCAGAAGCTTAGAACAAATATGTGTGCAAGCGTAAGATACGAACGTACTCGTATTATAAATGACAGTATAGTACATGGTAGAACACCCCGCGAGCTAAGGTACCAATTGCCTTTGCTCCCCTAGCGCCATCCAATGATGATGACCTCCGGTTGGCCATGTCATTTAACATTGACTTCTCATCGCAATTGTTTACAACCCGCGTCTCTCCATATCCTCGCATCCCTCTCCTGTAATTCGGGTAACATCCTAGATCAATTTTGCTGCATCTTGCTGCATTGCCCTCCGCTCCTCTCTCTACGAACGCCAAAGTCAGGGTTCCCCTCATGTCTGCTTACTCTTAGATGCCGCCCAACATTCCAATACTTCATGACAGAAAAAGAAGCCTCCAGCTAGGAGTGTCTGCTCGGACTGATCCCAAGCTATCACGGCTTCGGCAGAACAGCGTTGCGCATCCCACCCAATTCCCTCCCGCCCTGGATCACTGCAGGTCTGAATTAGTCCCGCGCTGTTGGCGAGCTTGTGAAGGCGAAGCACATCCTATCAAGGCCACTGCAAGCGACAACCCTCTCTCGGACCTCCGAACCGAAGCCCCTACACTGTTCCTGAATCAGGTTCCTATGCGAGTGTAACCACGCCTACCAATCGGCGCTGGGCGACATCCCTGAATCCAGCCCTCATCGCAAAATCTACCTCCAAGGTCAACAGTAGGATGTCTGTAGCAATTATGCCGCATCTCTCTCGGGCGTCGACGTCCTCTTCTTCATCCCATGTCCCTATTTCCCGCCAAAATACCGTCTCCTCTAGCGATGGACGCTCTGCGCGGCAGTCGAAGAGGTACTCGACCGCGTTGTATCTATCCATGTCAGCAAAGGAAAAAGATCTAGAGATCGAAGATGATTTAGCAAGAGGTAGGAAAGAAGCCAAAAATCAGCCAGCTATTCGCTGACGGATCGCAAAGCCCAGAAGGTCCAGCGCGACTATAAAGCTAAAATCTCCAGTCAATCGAAAAAGAATTTCGTACTCGAAAAGGATGTTCGATATCTTGATTCGAGAATAGCGCTTTTGATTCAGAATCGCATGGCATTGGAAGAAGTACTATTTTCAAGTGCGCACCAGTTGTGATTGGGCTAAAATTGCGAACAGCAAAACGAGGTCGCGAACCATCTCGAAGATGCCGCAGATTTGCAGGAAGGTTTCTTCCCTAATGACGAAAAAACCCAAAAATACGGCAATCTGCTCTTTCTTCTCCAATCGGAGCCTCGACATATTGCACACCTCTGTAGGCTGGTCACGATGGCCGAAATCGACTCTCTGCTGCAAACCGTCATGTTCACAATATATGGTAATCAATACGAGAGCCGAGAAGAACACCTCCTGCTGACCATGTTCCAATCTGTACTGACATACCAATTTGATAATACTCCCGATTATTCCTCCTTATTGCGGGCCAACACTCCCGTTTCGCGCATGATGACGACTTACACCAGGCGCGGACCAGGACAAAGCTACTTGAAGGTCGTACTGCAAGACAAGATCAATCCGGTGATTGAACTCAAGGACGTGGACCTGGAAATTAACCCACTGAAAGTGTACGCAAACATGATTGAAAGGGAAGAGGAAGACCCTGGCAGTGTGTCTGACTCACTTCCAAGAGGCGTGACGGCCGAAGAAGCCGCAGAGAACCCGCGTGTTCAGGAGATCATTGCACCAAGACTCATGAAGCTAATTGAACTTGCGAATTCGTTCCTGGAGAAAATCATCCAAGGGCTGGATGAGACACCATATGGTATACGGTGGATTTGCAAACAGATTCGCAGCTTGTCGAAAAGAAAGTATCCTGATGCAAACGACCAAACAGTTTGTACTCTCATTGGGGGTTTCTTCTTTCTAAGGTTCATTAACCCGGCTATCGTCACCCCGAGATCCTACATGCTCATCGACGGTCAGCCCGCAGAGAATCCGAGGCGGACGTTGACGTACATAGCCAAGATGTTGCAGAATTTGGCGAACAAGCCGTCATACGCCAAGGAGCCGTACATGTTGAAGCTTCAACCTTTCATCCATCAGAACAAAGAGCGAGTTAACAAATTCATGTTGGACCTCTGCGAGGTGCAAGATTTCTATGAAAGCCTGGAAATGGACAACTATGTTGCTCTTTCCAAAAAGGATCTTGAGCTGTCAATCACGCTCAATGAAGTCTACGCCACACATGCATTGCTCGAAAAGCATAGCGCTGCGCTTGGGAAGGACGACGACTCGCACCTGAATGTCATCCTCCAAGAGCTTGGTCCAGCCCCGGCTCAGCTACTAAGGAAAGAAAACCGTGCGATTAATCTGCCCCTCTTCAGCAAATGGGAGCACGCCATCGACGATCTCACCGCTGCTCTTGACATCACCCAAGAAGAAGTGTACTTCATGGAAGCAAAGGCAACCTTTGTACAAATCTTGAGGTCGCTTCCACCTAATTCATCTGTCGGCCGGCGGCCTTTACGCCTTGACCGCGTTGCTGAAGCAGCGGCGACGCTGAAGAACGATGCCGTCATGGTACGTAAGGGCATCAGAAGTATGGAACTTCTGAGCCAGTTGCAGGAGCTCCGGGTTGTTGATAAATCGGACGGCTTCTCGCTTCTTCGAGACGAAGTCGAATCCGAACTCATTCACCTCGGCTCTCTCAAAGAGAAGGTGCTCGAAGAAACCAAGAAGCTCGAAGAGGTCTTCCGCACCATTCGAGACCATAATAGCTACCTCGTAGGGCAGTTAGAAACTTACAAGTCTTACTTGCACAATGTTCGGAGCCAGAGCGAGGGCAAGAGCAGAGGCAAGCAGAAGGTGCAGGCACTGGGACCATATAAATTTACGCATCAGCAGTTAGAGAAAGAGGGCGTTATCCAACGGAGTAATGTGCCCGAGAACCGCCGAGCTAATATCTTTTTCAATTTTAACAGTCCGTTGCCCGGGACGTTCGTCATCAGTCTCCATTACAAAGGTGAGTCTATTACTTTCCTCGATAACAGTTGAGGTTGCGAAGTTGCTGATAATATAAATGACAGGGCGAAATCGCGGTCTACTCGAACTGGATCTCAAGCTCGATGATCTTCTTGAAATGCAGAAGGATAATACGGAGGCGCTCGATCTGGAATACGTCCAATTCAACGTAACAAAGGTTCTGGCGTTGCTGAACAAGCGCTTCGCACGTAAGAAGGGATGGTAACGCCTGCCAGAGGAATGCAGCTAGATTCCCTTTGCGCCGTTTGGAGTTAAATCTAGGGAGGCAATGTCGGAGTTGGCGTTGTCCCATTCAGGCGTTCGTTTGGAGATCGGGCAGCAACGCATTGGCGAATTTGGATACCATATTCTTTGGCCTGAGTCACGGCTTGCTTGGGGCAGGAAAGAACGGTGGGAAGGACGTCGGGGTTTAATGGGTTGAGGATCGTTGAGATTCCCACAAGCGGTGTAAGTCCGCACGCGAACAGCGACAATAGGAATATAATGAGTAATCAATGGTGTCATCCCAGCTGGCTGGGATGATCATCTTGAAAGTTGACGATTGGCATGCAAGGAACGAGCTTCTTCTACGGCTCAGTTGTTTGGGAAGTGCTAGATTTGGGATCAATAATGTAAGATACACGAAGATGATCGGTGTTCAGCTGGCGCAGGTAGAGATCGAACAGCTTCTTCGAAATGTGCTTTGCAGCTGAATATCACTCGACATGACGTTTGGTGGATCAATCGCCTTGCTTTGATTTTGGGGTTTTTTTTTGCTTGATCCCAATCTGCACCTGGTGTTCTCTCCTTTTTCTATCAACTTGAATTAAAGTAGATATATATTATTCTCGATTGAACGTGCCCGCGCTTCCTCTTTCCCTACTGCTTAGAAGCTTCAATATCAGGGGCCAGGACACAAAATTGACCACCTTCGGCCCGAAGACGTAGTTGACAAGGGGCTTGATATTAGATGATAAGGTGTGCAGTGAATGCAAAAAAAAAGGGAGGGTTGTCTCGTGCACGATTGCGATTGGCAAAGTCACTGCTAGGGAGTAGTGGCATTGTGATCCGCGACCGTTGAGCGAGAATGGCAAGAGTAGAAGGAACCTGTAATTGCTTTCGTCTTCCCGGACGTTTACACGTACTACATGACCCTACGGTTTCGGGATATGTATGCTCTTACTCACCATCGCACAACCCCATCCAACGAATATGCCTACAATCGGGTGCACCCCTCCCCCAAACCCGAGGTCCCAGACCCCTCCCAGGACACCTTGACTGCCGCCCTCCACCATGCCACTCCAGACGCACCAAGCCATCCCGGATACGAT